TGTTGGGAAAATTGGACAGCCACAAGCAGAAGAATGAAATTGGACCATTTCCTTATACCACATACACAAATAGACTCAAAATGGATGAAAGACCTCAATGTGAGACAGGAATCCATCAAAATCCTTGAGGACAACACAGGCAACAGCTTCTTACTAGACACGTTTCCAAAGGCAAGTGAAACAAAGGCAAAAATGAACTATTTGGACTTGATCAAGTTGAAAGCCTTTGCACAGCAAAGGAAACAGTCAACAAAACCAAAAGACAACTGACAGAATAGGAGAAGATATTTGCAAACATTTTATCAGCTAAAGGGCTACTATCCAAAATCTGTAAAGAACTTATCAAAGGCAACACTCACAGAACAAATAATCCAATCAAGAAATGGGTGGGGAGGGGGGGCCTGGGTGGCTCAGTCATTAAGCATCTGCCTTCAGCTGGGGTCATGATCCCAGGGTCCTGGGATGGAGGCCCACATTAGGCTCCCTGCTCAGAGGGAGGCCTTCTTCTCCCTCCCCACCCCCCTGCTTGTGTTCCCTCTCTCGCTGTCTCTCTTTCTGTCAAATAAATAATAAAAATCTTAAAAAAAAAAAAAAGAAATGGGCCAAGGACATGAACAGATATTTCTCCATAGAAGACATCCAAATGGCCAACAGACACATGAAAAAATGCTCAACATCACTCGGCATCAGGGAAATACAAATCAAAACCACAATGAGATACCACCTCACACCAGCCAGAATGGCTAAAATTAACAAGTCAGGAAATGACAGATGCTGGCGAGGGTGCGGAGAAAGGGGAACCCTCCTACACTGTTGGTGATAATGTAAGCTGGTACAGCCAGTCTGGAAAACAGCATGGAGGTTCCTCAAAAAGTTGAAAACAGAGCTACCCTATGACCCAGTGATTGCACTACTGAGTATTTACCCCAAAGATACAAATGCAGTGATCCGAAGGGGCACGTGCATCCCAATGTTTACAGCAGCAATGTCCACAATAGCCAAACTATGGAAAGAGCCCAGATGTCCATTGACAGATGAATGGATAAAGAAGATGTGCGGGATAGCTACAGTGGAATATTGTGCAGCCATCAAAAAGATGAAATCTTGCCATTTGCAACAATGTGGATGGAACTAGAGGGTATTATGCTAAGTGAAATAAGTCAATCAGAGCAAGACAATTACCATATGATCTCAGCCATATGTGGAATTTAAGGAACAAAACAGAGGATCATGGGGAAGAGAGAATAAAATAAAACAAGACGAAACCAGGGAGGAAGACAAACCGTAAGAGACTCTTTTTTTTTTTTTAAAGATTTTATTTTATTTATTTGACAGAGAGAGAGAGATCACAAGTAGGCAGAGAGGCAGGCAGAGAGAGAGAGGGAAGCAGACTCCCCGCTCAGCAGAGAGCCTGATGCGGGGCTCGACCCCAGGACCCTGAGATCATGACCTGAGCTTAAGGCAGCGGCTTAACCCACTGAGCCACCCAGGCGCCCCTAGACTCTTAATCATAGGAAATAAACCGAGGGTTGCTGGGGGGAGGGGAGTGGGGGATGGGGTAACTGGGTGATGGGGATTAAGGAGGGCACAAGACACAGTGAGCACTGAGTGTTATGTAAGACTAATGAATCACTGACCTCTACCTCTGAAACCAGTAATACATTATATGTTAATTAATTGAATTTAAATGAAAAAAATTCATTTCCACAGCTTCCTGGTCTCACGGTAGAGGCCATTCTTGTGCTATGCCCACGTTCAATCTCCAGCCTGTGCAAGTTCTGAAGCCAGGCCTGGAGAGCCAATGTGTCTAATGCACAATTTTTGACATGATTCTCCCCCCCAAGGGTTTTCCCTGCACCCCTTCCCTCCCTCATCTCTCAAGGCGACTTTCCACAGGGCCACAGCTCCTACTTCCCAGGGAGTCTGACCATACTGGGTCACCCAGGAAGTTCTGTCTCTCCTGCCATCTGCCCCCAGTCCCCCACTGGCCACGGTGGCCCCCCTGCTCATGTGCCCCTTTGTCCAAGCTCTGACTGAGAAGGTCTCACACAGGCTTGGCATGTGGCTGGCACTTCCCTTCTCCTGCCTAGGCTAGTTTCCTGTCCCCAGCCCTGGGTCCTTGGCACTCCTGGCATCTTTTGAAGGCCCTGCAGTTCTAGATGCTGTAGACACAGCAGGGAACCAGCATTGGGGGATGTCTAGCAGTGCCCTTGACCTCGTCCCAGTAGATCCAGTACCCCCTCTCCCCTGCACCATGACAACCCCAAATGTCTCCAGATATTGCCAAATATCCCCAAGGCCAAAGAACTCTGGATACAATGAAAAATCACCATATTGAATAAAGTACACAGTGAGTCAGAAGGTGAGAATCGTAAGAATTAAAAATGTCGGACAGGGTAGAGGGGTCTGGGAGGATGGGGGTATAATGGACTGAATGTTTGCACCCCCCCCCAGTCTATTGCAACACTAACCCCCTGTGTGTCTGCGTTTGGAGCAGGGGGCCCTCTATGGAAAAAAAAAAAATCAAGGTTAAATAAAATCACAGAGAAGGGGCCCTAATGTGACAGGATTAGTGTCCTTACAAGAAGAGACACCATGACAGAGAGGAGTCCCCTCACCCCCGTCAGGATGGCCCTCATCAAAGAGACAAGAAACAACAGGTATTGGCAGGATGTGGACAAAAGGGACCCCTATGCACTGTTGGTGGGAAGGTAAGTGGGTGCAGCCACTGTGGAAACAGTAGGGAGGTTCCTCAGGAAATAAAAATGGAGCTTCCCTGTGATCCAGCAATCCCACCCTGGGTATGCATCTGCAGAAAATAAAAACACTGATGTGAAAACATATCTGCACCCCTCCCCTGCCATGTTCACAGGGTCTCAGCCACAGAAAGTCTTGGACTGTCCCTGGGGGATGACAGGATGTGGGAAGATGGTGAGTGGAAAGAGACAGTGTCTGACATCCTTCTATCTTAGCAGCAGCATTACTTCCAGCAGAGTGGCCCGAGTGTCCCCCTACAGATAAGTAGGGCCCATCTGTGCAGTGGAACATTCTCCAGCCTTAAACAGAAGGGACATTCTGACTCCTGCCCCCACTGGGATGAACCCCGAGGACACTGTGCTCAGTGCCATGAGCAGCCACAAAGGGACAACACTGTGTGACCCCACTTCTGTGAGTCCCCAGAGGTGTCAGATCATAGAGACGGAATGTGGACAGTGGGTGTCAGATTGGGGGACAGGGAGAGATGGGGAGCTTGTGTTTCTTAGGGGCAGTTTGGGAAGAGGAGAAAGTTCTGGAGGTGGGGGAGCTGTTCACAACATTGTGAACGTGCCTGATGCCGCTGGATTGCTCACTTAAAAAGGTCACAGCAGCAAATTTCATGTTGTGTGTATGTTGCTGCAGTGTAAACTAGTAGGTGTAGGAAAAAGTTCTGGCTGCCTCAGAAGACAGGACCAGAAGGGTCCAGGCCACCAGGAGTCCAAATGAGGGGCAGCAGCCCAGGCAGTAGCCGGCGATGGGGAGGGGGATCTGCTGGCCCTGGGGGTGCAGCAGACACGATTTCTAGAAGGGCTGCTGCAGGTTTGGTGTGAACCTCTGCAGGGACAAACTGCCCTGACCTGAGTCAGGGAAAGCTGTGGACAGAACAGTTGTTTGATCGTGGCGGGCAGGGGAGGGGTGAGATCAGATCACTAGTTATCCCCTTGCTGGTGTTCGGGAAGCAGCTGGACAGGGAAGCCCGAGGCTGGTGGCTGGTGTACACAGTCGCAGGTGTATACCCTCGCAGAGCTCGGACCGTCAGGAGGGAATATGAAGTGGGGGGCAAAGGACCGCCCAGCAGCGCCCTGAGGGGTGCGGGCGAAGGTGGAGCGCTGCGGGGAGGGGACTGCGGGGCTGCTGAGCCTGGCCGGGGGTCCTGGGGACGTCCCAAGACTCTGCGGGCAGGCTAGGGTAGCCAAGGTCGTAGACCGGGCAGGAGTGGGCTCAAGAGAGAAAGGAGGAGGAAATGGATCACGGGGAGAGGTGCAGCCCAGGCGGGGAGGGGGCTAGGGACTCACGAGGTTTGTTTTCTTAGGAAATTAAAAAAAATCACAGGGGCGCCTGGGGGCTCCGACGGCCAAGCGGCTGCCTCTTGATCTCCGCTCAGGTCTTGGTCTCAGGGTCCCGAGTTCAGAGAAGAAAAAGAGATCACAGGCTCTTCCCTGGAGAGGAGGCTCCAACTGAGAGGGGAAAGCCGGTGCTCTGGGGACCGGACAGCAGCCCTGGGGGGATGGGGAGAGAGGGAGCTCCGCGATCCCCGCAGTCAAGACCACCGCAGCTCCGAGTGCCGCCCCGGGTCCCGGCCCCGACATCCCGCGGCCCTTCGGTCTTCTCGGCAGGCGTGCGCGGTCGCGGCAGGAGGTGGAGGGTGCGTTGGGCTCCAAGGTCAGGCTAGAACGTGGGTTGGCCTGAAGAAGACCAGAAGAAGACCCCCGGGTGACGGGAGTGCCGGAGAGCGGGAGAGCGCACGCGACGCTGGATCCGCGGGGCTGGAGGGGTTGGACCCCTGCGCTATTGGAACCCCGGGACGCAGAGCACCGCATCCCCTCCCTACTAAGCAGGGAGCGCTGGACGAGCCTGCGGAGGGGCCGGGAAGAGCGTGCTCCAGAGCTCCAATGCCCGAGGTCTACCGGCGCCTTGCTTCTGGGTAGGCTGGGTCCCCCTCCGCGCGTGGACGAGGCTGTGTGAGGGTGATCGGCAAATGTCACAAGGGTGAGATGGAGAGGCAAAGAAAAGCCAACGTCGAACACGTCTTCGGTCCCAGGGGTCGAAAGGCTGCAGCGCGGGGCTTCGCCCCGGGGGCCCCGCCCCGGGAGCCCCCCCAGGAGGAAGAGCACGGAAACGCGCACATCCGGGATCGCGGCTTGCAGTCTCCTCCGCCCAGCAACCCGCCCCCCCCTGCAGCCCGCCCTATGGGGAAGAGGAGATAGTGGCGGTCACGAGCACTGCCCCTCCCCTGGGTCGGAAAGGCAGCGTCCAGCCGGGGCCACAGCCGACGCGAAGCCCCGCGCAGGGGGGCGGGACGTCGGGGCGCCGCGCTGCCCAGCACGAAGCGGACTGCTGGGGTCTCCCGCACGCACGTGGCCGGGACGTGGGCCTGGGGCGCCTCCCCCCGGAGCTGGCGGGCTTTGCAGGGACCCAGGAGACGCCAAGTGGAGCGCGTCCTTTCCAGAGGGGCCGGTAGGGAACCTGAAACCCGCGCGCCTTGGGCGCCTCGGGGGAGCACGCGAGGCTCTTCGCTTCCAACAGCCCTGCGCCTTCACGAGGAAGAAAAGTGCACAGGGAAGTCAAGCGACCCCTCCGAAGTCACACAGCCCGGGAAGGTGGTAGGACCTCGAGGCTGGGAGAGGTGGGGCCAAAGGGGAATGACAAATAGTTGTCCACGCTCCAAGAGGTGTAGAGGAAGGACCCGGCCGGACGGACGGCTTTTCCCCTATCCTGAGGGTCAGGGGCGAGGCCGTGCGGGAGTGAGGACCAGAGAGGGTGGATTTTCCACCGCCCCACAGTCTGGCTCGCTCCTGGCCCTGATCTCCTCCGAGCAATGCGATCCGACACCATCGGGTCCTAGCGGCCGGCGGGGAGCCTCCCCGGCCGCTGGCGAGCATAGAGCCCCTCCCTCAGGATCGGCCCCAGGGTCACCCCGAGACTGGGCACCGCTGGACGCCAGCAGCAGATTTCCCGCTTCCTCAGCTTTGCTCCCGCCCGCAGTGGCTCTGGAGGTTCTGCCCAGCCGCCGCCTCCTCCCGGCAGCCCTCCGGACTCCAACGTCGGTGAGCCTGGTGGGGGTTGGAGGTGCAGCCCCCGGCAGGGCTGAGCCCTCGGAGTCTCGGAGCTTCCTCGGCCCCTTTAAACTGGTGGTTTCAGCAGTCTGGGGTTCCCATGACAACGACGGCGGATGGGGGACCCGGGCGGGGTCCGGTCGGAGCGCATGCGCGGTGCGCTGCCGACGCAGCACGTCTTCCCGAGTAGCCAGCGCTGCTGTCGCGGGGTCCCTGAACCGCGGTGAGGGCGGGGTGGGGCGTTCGCGGGCCTGGGGGGCGGGTTACGGGGTTCCCTGAACTGGGGTGAGGGTGGAGTGGGGGTGTGTGTGAACCCCCGTGAGGGCAGGATGGGAGGGTTCACGGGCCCGGAATGGGGCGGGGTAGGGGGGCTGCTGAACTGGGGTGAGGGGGTCCGTGAACCACGGTGAGGGCGTGGTGGGAGGGGTTCGCGGGCTCGAGAGATGAGGGCGGCATAGGGGGGTTCGGGGGCCCGGGGTGGGCGGGGTACGAGGTGTTCGCGGGCCCGGGGGGTGAGGGAGGGGGGGGAGGGGTTCGGGAGTCCGGGGTGGGCGGGGGGGGCGGGGGGGGGGCGGGCCGGGGGGTTGCGGGCGGGTTAGGGGGTCGGTGAAGCCCGCTGAGGGCAC